ATAACACAGAGAGTCATAAATTACCAATCTGATCATAGCTGCGGACAATGAGAAACCTGGAAACCTGTGAAAAGTGGGTGAAGTTGTTTATATCCATTCATATAAATCACAGAGAATGATGACGACAAATACGATGCTGCAAAATATGAGAGAGTCAAGCCTCACCTGGCGTCCTCCGGTGTGACGGATCCTCGTCACTAATGCAGTGGAAGTGTTTGCAGAGAGAACTTTCTTCCTGGTGCTCTGTGCTTGTTGGAATTTCTAAAGACTGGATGACGCCTGTTGGCTCAGTTGTACCTGATCTGCCAGGGGAGCGGCATCGGCCAGGGCCACGAGGAACCACAACAGTGGCGTTGACTTTTTAATTGATATCGACTCTTTGTATGCTATCCTGTCTGTGATTGGCCCGACACGTGAAAAGGAACTCACACTGGATCGATCTGGTGCTGTTCTATGAAGTTTGTACCCCTTCGCCCCAGTGTGAAAACATCTCTTTAACTCTTTAACCGTCCTCCTGGTTGTGGAGACTCCAGACACGACGCCATTGATCGCTGATGTGGTCTGAATGTTGATCCAGCAAACAGAGAAGGTTTCCACACAACATTACCTACAAGATCCAATAAGGTTTCAAAGAGAATAATCAAATCTATTGTTCAAAGATGACACTCATTTCATCCAATCATGTTTCTGTAGAGTTAAACGTCTAAAACAGAGCGTTTCAGTTGGAACAGGACGTTGACGGATTATGTTTCTGTAATGTAACATGTAAACAAGGATAGAACAATTTGTCTGAAATATTCTGAGAAGATTTTGTTGAGGCAACACAACAGAACATCCATCCATCATCTCTACACCTTAATCCTCACTAGGGTCATGGGGGGCTGGAGTCTATCCCAGCTGACTCAGGGTGAAGGCAGGTTCACCTGGACAGGTAACCAGTCTATCACAGGGCTACACTTAGAGACAGACAACCAAGCACACTCACATTCACACCTACGGACAATTTACAATCACCAATTAACCTCAGCATGTTTCTGGACTGTGGGAGGAAGCTGGAGAACCTGGAGAGAACACAGAAGGATCCCGGGTGTCCTCACTGAGACATGAACCGGCGACCCTCTTGCTGCGAGGCAACGGTGCGAACCACTGAGCCACCTTGCAGCCCAGCAACAGAACATTCTACCATAAAACATTCTTACAGCGTGACATGACAACAAAGAAACGATGGACTCACTGCAGCATTTGACAAATGTTTTAAGAACGTTTGTTGGGAAAAGTCTTTGGAGAACTTTATCTTGGCGAATGAGAGTCCCAGTGGTAGAGACACTAAGTCTGATTGTGTTTAAGGTTGTAAATGGGCTGGTGCCTCTTAAATGTTCATACCCCCGTCAGAGCACTGAAGTCGACCAACCAGATGCTCCTGGATGTTCCAGGTGGTCCTGATCTTTACTGGCAAACTTCATGGACACACATTTGACTGTTTTGTCTCTCAATAAACTAACATGATTTAAAGTCTTTGTCTAGACTTGTATATGTACCAGACACTGATGTGAACTGTAAATTGACTGGTTCATGGAACCACGAGATGCTAATTCTAGATATCATATCACCAAAGTACCATTTGTGATACATATGTCTGGGTTGTTCCCACCAAGTCATAACTCCGTGAGCTCGTCAGTGCAGTCTCAATAAGCCACATAGAACCTAAAGGCCAAGGAATTTGCTGTTCATTAGTCGTTTTATTGCTTTTGATTCACTGGTTTCCAACTTCCACGGACATACAAATTGAACAAAGGCATTGTTAATATTGCACCTTTGCTTTTGTAACTATGAAAAGTGAAATGAATGAAAACGACCAGTTGCTATACATTTCCTTCATTAACCACAGAAAAATTGATATAGGACAGAAATAGCACAGAACAGTTTAAATGATAATCATGGTCATGAATTTCTTCCCTTCTCATTATTATTAGTGTTGTAGAGTCAGGCCTCAGTATCTGCACGGGCATCCAAACCGAACCTTGTAGTCACGGCAATCGTCCTGATACTGGTCCGTGTGGCGACAAACGAAACCCTGAGTTGGATTGTAGCTGAGAAAGAAGCCCAAGTGGATGGTGAGTTAGTATGCTCTGTACAGATGTGTCAAAGAGACAAGACATTCTGTTGAATGTCAATAAATTCACGTTATACATGATTTTAAAATGA